CAAGCCCAAAGCTTGGCCGCGGCGCGCGCCGACGGCCGCCGTGGTCTCCCGCGCCGCCGCCGCACCCCCTTCCTCGCTCTCCGAGCCTCCGCAGAGAGAGGGGGAGAGAGAGGGGAGACGGGCGGAGAACGCGCCAGGAGACCGGAGAGCCCCATCCCGGAGACGAGAACCGAAAAGGGAGAGCAACGCGGCAGAGACGGCCCCGCGCGGGAGGACCGGCCGGGCGGCGGCGCGCGACGGCCTTCGCGGGGGAGAGAGAGGGGCGCGACGGCGCCCTCGGCGCCCCGAGACCGCGACAGAACAGGAGGAGGAGGAGGAGGGCGGCAGGCGAAGGGAGGAGGGGGTCGGCACCCCCGTCCCCGGCGCTCTCGCCTCGCGCGCGCGCGGCAGCACGGCACGGTACCGCCGCGGTACCCACCCGCAGACAGCCGCCCGCGCGGGGGGGAAGGCCGGGGGCGAGGCCCGCGCCTCGCCTCCCTTCTCGCCCTTCTCTCTCTCTCTCTCCCTTCTCTCGGCCCTCGGCGGCGCTTTCGACGCCGTCTCTCGCTCTCCCCCGGCCGCCGCCGCCGCATCCACGGCGCGGCCCCGGCGAGGACGAGCTCCGCCCCAGCGGCTCGCTCCGGGAGCGGGGAGCTACGGAGCGCTCCCCGAGTCTACATTTAGGGGGACGAAGGCCCTGCGCGGCGACCGCGACGACGACGACGACGACGCGCGCCGGGCCGCAGGCAAGGGGGTCGGGGCCGCCGAGGGAAACGCTTCCCTCGCCGAGCCGCCTGACCCGCCTTCCCTCCGGGCACCGGCGGGACGACGCCGCCGCCGCCGCCCGCCGCGGGCAACGGGCCTGCGAGGCGACCCCAGCCGCGCCGCCGGGGTGGCCCCCGGACGGCGATTGATCGTCAAGCGACGCTCAGACAGGCGTAGCCCCGGGAGGAACCCGGGGCCGCAAGTGCGTTCGAAGTGTCGATGATCAATGTGTCCTGCAATTCACATTAATTCTCGCAGCTAGCTGCGTTCTTCATCGACGCACGAGCCGAGTGATCCACCGCTAAGAGTTGTCTGGCTTTCGGGCGCCGCTCACGCCGAGCGGCCCCTTATTGTCTCTCGCGCCGAGGACGCGCGGGCGCGCGCGCCTGGCTTCGACCGTACGAGCACACAGAGAAACACAGGAAAGGGGGAAAAAAAATCGGAGAAACCCACGCTCCGAAGGACCGCCAAGAGGCGGGGGAGCCCGCGCCCCCGACCGCCTCCCCCCGCGAGGGGAGACGCCGACCTCACAATGCCGTCCTTCGGAGGCGGCCCAGGCGCCCGGGCTCGGCCCGGCCTCCGCGCGGAGGGCCACGCGGCGCGCGCCGGCACGCGGGAGGGCACGGCGTCCCGCCCGCTCTCGCTTTCACGGGACGACACGCGCGCGCGCGCACACACACGCGCGCGCGCGCGGCCGGGGTCGCGGCCGTCGGGCCCCGCACGCACCGGCTCCCCTCGGCGACCCCGCCGCGGGGCTCGCGGAGCGCCGCCGCGCCGCCGCGCGGCCGGGACCTCTCTCTTTCCCCAGCGGCCTTACACCCCCGCTCGAGACGGCACGCGGCGACGACCGTGCCGCCGGCGCGCCTCCCCCCGGCGGGACCGCTCCCGCCGGGCGGGCCAGCGTCCGACGGACGCGCTCCGCCGCCGGCCCCGGAGGCGGACGCCACCGAGACCCGAGCCGGCGTCGCCAGCGCCCGAGGCCTGCCGGGCGGCAGACCCCGCCGCCGCCGGGGCCGCACTCCCGGGACCGCCGCCGCCGCGTCGCACCGCCGGGGCCCCTCGCCTCGGCACGCGCCCGGCGGAAGGCGTACGGCGCTGAGCCGGGGGGCAACGCCCGCTCTCCTCGTTTTCACGCGGAGACCGGGCGGGGGAAGCGCCCCCGCGGCCGCCCGCACGCCTGCCTTCGGCCCACACGCGGCCGGGAAGGGCGACGGAGGACGCGACGTGCAGGGCCCGGGCCGGGACCGCCGCCGGCGACGGCGGGCGCCTTCCGGCCGACCGTCCCCGCAGGGAGGGACACCCGTCGAGCGGCGCCGCCGCCGCTCGGCACGGGGTCGCCCGCGCTCGCGGGCCTCCGCCGACGGAGGGCCCGCCGGGCGCACGCCCCCCCGGGCGGGCGGGCGATCGAGCCGGGGGACGGCCGGCGGACGGCGCCGCCGGCGCGTTCGAGGAGGAAAGGCCGTCGAGGGGAGAGAGAGGGGCCGGACGCGCGGGACGCGGCGCCGCGCGCGCGAGCGACCGCGGCGGCGGGCCGTGGAGAGAGCGCGGCGGACCCCGGCGGCCGCAACCCCGCGGCCGAGGAAAGGCGAGAGAGCGGGCGCTCTCTCGCCGGCGTCGCCCGTTACGACGAGGCGAGCGGGTCGGCCCCCGCGGCCGACCGCGCGCCGCGGCCTCTCCGCCGAGGCCGGGCCGCGGAGAGGGGGGGGCAGGGCGCCCCTCCCCGGCGCGGCGCGGTTACCCCCCCGCGCGCGCGGCG